CCCCAAAACCCCAAAACCCCAAAACCCCAAAACCCCAAAACCCCAGAGGTAGCAGAGTTGGTTGAGACTGTCTATTTTTGGTTTTTCCATATGTGAAATAGTGTTTGTTGAGTTTTAAAGGATGCTAAAGCATCAAAATCAACTATAAGCTCACATTTAGTCTTGCGTAATTAGATGGAACCTCTTTCAAGTGATTTTAGCCTTAGAAGAGGAATTATGGTTTTTCAGGCATTTTTGGTTTATCAGATTGGCCAAGAGAGCGGTTTATTAAAGTTCCGAAACAAATTATGGTCAACAAAGAGCATCCTAGTTCTTTTAGGTGTCCTTACAACCCTCTGAGAGTTAGGTTTATCAAATCTGGTTTGCCAAGATGGGGAAGGTAAAAATAAATGGCATATGGAAAATTAAAGAACACTAAATTCAAGAAAATTATGGATGACAGAATAAATTCAAGCCCAATCAAAAATCTTGAAGAATCAAGCTAGGAGGCTTTATGATGCCTTGTTTACCCTTCTGCTTCCCTCTGCTGCATGATTTGGCCCTCATCAGAAGTGAAGAGTGGTAGGTTAGAAGATTGCACACTTCTCTAAACCAAGGATGATCCATCTACTAAGCATGATAAACCAAAGCTGGGAGGCGTAAGCTTCTAAACCAATTTGAAGATGAATTCCTTTATCCGAAATTATAGAAATTTTGTGTCAGGATGCACACTTCTATGAATAAACCTAATCCAAAACTTTCTTTAATTTGGAAGCTGACAGAGATATTCGAACTCTAGGGAAGAGGTTCAACTCTGATACTGTAGGATAGAAAGGACCTAAAAATAGGCTCTTAAGCCTAATTGTGGCCTCCACAGCACCACTGAGTGGAATAACTCCAACCCCCGTCATGATGGGCATCCTGGAGGGTAAGGTCATTATTGGTTTCTTCGTCTTCTTCTGATAAAAATCCGTTAATTTCTGGATAACCTAGATGGAAATCCAAGTTTAGAGGTTTGTTGTCCCTTTAGGTGTCAAGGACAGTTCCCATGAGTCTTGTATACCTGTAATATGTACTATTTTGCTTAGATTGTTGCTCAACTTGGGAAAGTCATAACACTGATTTTAGGATTTCTTCCATGTCAACCCTCCGATCACCGTCTGGGGTTTTGGGGTTTTGGGGTTTTGGGGTTTTGGGGTTTTGGGGTTTTGGGGTTTTGGGG